TCTCTCTCTCTCTCTCTCTGGTTGTGTGATAACCAAACACAATGCCTTAGCTTCGGACATTCCTCCTCCTCCCCTTCCTCCTCCTCCTCTTCATCACTCCTCCCCTTCGGCTCTGGATAACAGGAAACTCCCCCTTGTGGATATGTATGTGCATGTGCAAGAAGATATTTAACTATAATAATGTATATGTAAAGTACCCAAAACTACTTATTTAGCAGAATCGGCCATTTCTGGTACAACTTCTTTAAAAGAAATAGTACCAAACATTAATGTTCTCATTATACAGAAGTAAAAAATAAATAATAATTCTAAGAAATGATATTGTTACGGGACGTACACAAAAATATTAATACTGTACAGTTAAAAATATGATAAAAATAATCAACAAATTCAAGGAAAAAAAAGACAAATAAAAAGTAAATAACGTTATTACATGAAATTATAAGAACTAATCAATACTTAATAAATAAATAATTAACTGTCAAATCTAAATGGAGTTTCATTAGTGAAGTTATGTGAAGTAAATAATGGCAAATTTAAAGAAAGATCCAATTTTGAAATAAATGGTGACATCTAGTGAGTTTGTGTGCAAGAACATATTTAACTATGATAAAGCATAAAAAGTATATTTAAAGTACCAAAACTACTTATTTTGCATAATCTGCCATTTCTGGTACAACTCGATTAAAGTAAAAGCATCAAAAATAAACTTTAAAGTATCTTTACTCCTTTTTATTTTTTTATTTAATTTTGTTATGGCTTGTAAATTGCATTGATGAGGAACCTGCTATCTAAGTTTTTCATTCATTACGTAATTACACCGTAGTTCTGTATATAATATGTAAATGGCGGTTCATTAATCAAAAACGTAGAGATAAATGGTGACATCTAGTGAGCTTTTTGAAGTAATACAACTATAATAGCTTTTAGTTTAATACCAAATCATTGATATCTAATCAGATGCAGTCTTTAATCTGCTTTATTTGCATGATAGTCCAACAACACCACAGAATAATGTTTTACCTGCAGGCTCGTATCTTCTTTTTTAATTTGAATACAAAAGTCATTGCTGGGATTTAAATTCTGTCAAATGTATATTTTAAATGACGCATACAATCAGAGTCAGATTTGCATTCATGTATTACGACACTGGACACAGGTGTTGAATGTAAACTCAGATTTTCAAAACGTTAGATTTTTAAATAGACTGATTTATTATTGGCTAATCTATCAGTAAAGTTGATGACTTGTCGAAATGAATGAATGAATGAATGATGTTGTTATTGTTTCAGTCATTAGAGGTTAGTGTCACTGCAACAGGTGTATGAGACGAGAACAATTTACCTAGAGAAATGAACCGTATGAAAAGGCATTAAAGTCAGGAAAGGTTTGTCAATATGCAAACACACACACTTACAGAAACACACACACACTTTTCTGATCAGACATCAGTTTTGAGGCGTCTCAGTAGCACGAAGGTCAGAAACACTAACAAGGTGGGTGTCTTTTAAGAATATAATTACATGTTTAAGTTGTTAATGTTATAATACGATCACTTTTGTTATGACTTCATCTGGCAATTACTTCTTAACTAATTGATCTGTGTTTAATTTAGTTAAAGAAGTGCCTAATCTTCCCAGAGTCCAGGAAGACGTCTTTAGATGTTTAGCTCTCCTCAATTTCTCTCGACTTTCTAATCATCCATACTTTGTCTTAGCGGAGACATCTACACCGAGAGACCCTGCAGTTATTACAAATGTGATGAGAATATAAGATGTTGGGCCGTTTTCATATGTCATCATGCCAGCTACTAACAGAGGAAAGATGTGGCTGTAAAACAATCTTATAGGCTCAGTTTAGCTTTGAAGGATCCCAAATAAAATGTTTTTTTACCAGCAATTAATGCTAGCAATTAACCAGAAGGAAGTAAGAGAGAAAAGGAGTGAGGCTTAGAGTGAATAGCAGAGGTGGGAAGTAGTGGAGCACAAAAACTTCGTTACTGTACTTAAGTACATTTATCTGGTATCAGTACTTTACTCCACTACGACTTTTTACTTTTACTTCTTACATTTTGAACCCAAATACCTGTACTTTCTACTTCTTACATGTTGAACACAAATACCTGTACTTTCTACTTCTTACATTTTGAACACAAATACCTGTACTTTCTACTTCTTACATGTTGAACACAAATACCTGAACTTTCTACTTCTTACATGTTGAACACAAATACCTGTACTTTCTACTTCTTACATTTTGAACACAAATACCTGTACTTTCTACTTCTTACACTTTGAACACAAATACCTGTACTTTCTACTTCTTACATGTTGAACCCAAATACCTGTACTTTCTACTTCTTACATGTTGAACCCAAATACCTGTACTTTCTACTTCTTACATGTTGAACTCAAATACCTGTACTTTCTACTTCTTATATGTTGAACACAAATACCTGTACTTTCTACTTCTTACATGTTGAACTCAAATACCTGTACTTTCTACTTCTTATATGTTGAACACAAATACCTGAACTTTCTACTTCTTACATGTTGAACACAAATACCTGTACTTTCTACTTCTTACATGTTGAACACAAATACCTGTACTTTCTACTTCTTACATGTTGAACCCAAATACCTGTACTTTCTACTTCTTACATGTTGAACTCAAATACCTGTACTTTCTACTTCTTACATGTTGAACTCAAATACCTGTACTTTCTACTTCTTACATGTTGAACCCAAATACCTGTACTTTCTACTTCTTACATGTTGAACTCAAATACCTGTACTTTCTACTTCTCACATTTCCCAAACAGGCTGGTTCCTTTAGTTTGAATGTGTGTTTGGTGGCGTGATCATTATTATTTAGAGTCATTGCGTGCCTATTGATTTGAACACGATCCGTGTATCCATCATTTCCTGGTCTTCGCTAAAGAAGAGGGACCAATGGAAACGTTGTCATGTTGCCGTTGTTCAGCATGGAAACATTCATTAGCTAACAATGACATTATTGTTCTATTAATATAAAGGGAGGTCAGGTACTCTTTAAAACAGCTGCTAGTTATGGGTACTTTTTACTGAAGTACATTTCAAAGTCTCTTTACTTTTACTTGAGTAAAGAAGTTTAGTCAGTACTTCTACTTTTACCAGAGTATTTTTAAACACGAGTATCTGTACTTCTGCTTGAATAAAGGATGTTGCCATCTCTGTTGAATAATCCTGACCAAGTGTGTGAATGTGTAAATTGGGCGTGAGATTATTTGGGAAAACATATTTTTTATCTTCTCTTTTTCAGGGCGTCCAACATGTCAGCCAACAACTCTTCCTCCTTCGATCATCCCCATCAATCTCCTGAATTTCTCTTTTTCAACTGCCATGAAGTCAAAATTGGAAGCATTATCATTGGCATTTTCACCGTCTGCAGCACCCTCATCATCGTCCCTCTCTCCGTCACTGTCCTCTACCTTGGGCACCAGCAATGGCGTAGACATCGCGCAGTTAAACAAAACCACTCGGACATCATCACCTACAACATGGCCGTCATGGAGGTCTTCCTGGTGTTCGGATCCATCTTCTACTGCCTCAGCGTCCTTCTCAACTCAAAGGCCATGAGGCTGGTTTCGACCCATGTTCACTACATCACCAGTTGCGGGCAGTTGTCCTTACACATCCTAATTTGTGTCGAGCGCTACCTGGCCGTGGTTCATCCCATTAAATACCGGAGTTTGAGGCAAAGCCGCGGCAACACAATCAGAAACGTCAGCGTTGGGAGTGTGTGGCTGATTGCCTGTGCGGAAATGAGCTTAAACTTGACGGAAAATGAGGTTTTTATTGTTATGCTGTACACTGTGCAACTGGCGCTAACCTTGATCAGCATTTCTTTCTTTAGCTTCTCCGTGCTCAGGGTTTTAAAGCGTCCAGGACCGGGGGTTGGAGGCATAGCGAGGGTGGATCGATCAAAAAGGTGCGCGTTCTCCACCATCACAGCCATTTTGGTGGCGTTATTGTTGAGGCTTGGGGGGAGTTTGTTGTCAACGATGTTCTACACTTTATCGCTGACGAGCCAGAGTGTCCGGTGCGTGGTGATAGAGGCGAGTGCCTGGTTGGGTTTGCCTTGTAGTTTGGTGTTGCCACTGCTGTTTCTGCACAGGGCGGGAAAACTAATGTGTTGCAGGAAAACTGAGTCAGGATAAGGGTCCGCGTAGATTAGTGCAGCGAGGATGTATTTAGGCAGGCAAAACTGGAAGTTAGCATCACAAAGGCTCACTCGGAAAAAAGATTTGGACAACAAGAGTGTATTTTAGGGGATATTAAGAGCATTTTCGAGATATTTAGTTATAAACTTAAAGTAAATGCGGTTAAATCCTAGCGTGGATAACTTATTCTGTCTGAAAAAGCTCCCAGAAAAAGCCCAAACACAACACAATAAAAGCTAAATGTGCTATGTTGCATTTCTAACATCATATGTTTTCCATAATATGACTATGAACGTGTATTTTAGGGACTAATAACGAACATTTTCTAGCAACTTTGGCTAAATTCAGGATAAGGAGAGACAACTCCTAGCCTACTTTATCTAAAAAAGCAACCAAAAAAGATGATTTATTATAAAAGTGGACACAAAATAAACTATAAAACATGAATCTGTGTCTGCAGGAGAAACATAAAGCCAGCAGAATGAAAACTAAATAAAGTCAAATGCATTTTTAAAGAACATTTTGGAGATATCGACCTTCTAACTTTGAATACATTTGGCTAAATTCTTGCTTAAAAAAAGACACATCCCTCACAATTAAATAAATGAACACAAACTAAACATAGAACATGATAAAAGTTTACATCAAATAATCTTGGTGGTAAAAACATGAAAGATTATCTCCTCATATTAACACCACTTTATGATTTCTGAAGTAAAAAGTTAACATTTGGCTATAAAGGAACAACAACATGACTTCACGTCAACACCGCTAAGCTAAAGGAGGCTAATGTTGGGCT